GATGAATAGTGCCTGACATGTTCTAGTCAATAACAATGTAATGCTTGAAGTGCCTCTGACCATAGTATTAGCAGCTGTTGATTAGCTGAAAGCCCTGAAATATTAAGGATGTTCTTAAATCTCATCTTTCAACCAATTCTCTTTTTTCATCTATGACCCTCACTCAGCCCATATTCACAGAGTACAAGCAGGTAAGGCATTCTCAGCATGGGAAGGAATAGGGCACAGCTATTATAATATTATTATTTCAGTGGCACTTAGAGGCACTAAGTGAATCACACTCTTTTTGTGCTGGGCATTATACACACATGTAGTAAGAGCAAATCCCTACCCTGACCAGCTGAGTCTAAATAGAATGGCAAATGGGAGAGAGAAATGAAGTGATTTGGTGAACATCACTCAGCAGGTCAGCAATAGAGTCAAGAAGGGAATCCAGGTTTAGAAACACCTGCAAATCCCATTGGCTTTTGTAAGAATTGTATGTGCTCAGGACCTCTGGAAATCAGGTCCTGAATTATTACCATAGTACAGTAAACTTCCTTTAATTCGGCACCTTTAGGACCCAGGGGGTGCCGGATTATCAGATATGCCGGAGTACCGGATGGGGGGGAGGTCGGCAGGGAACTGCGCAGCGTGGGAGAGGGCGGCACTGCGGGACCAACCCGGCAGCACCCCAGCTGCTCTGCCCCGGGCTTCCCCAAGTCCGCTGCTGCTGAAACTGACCAGCGGCTGACTTGGGGAAGCCAGGGGCAGAGCAGCTCCAATTGTCCGGCTGGCCTGAGCACTTCCGGGTTCCAGTTGGTGTTGCACTGTCAGGAGTGCCAGACCACTGGATGCCGGACAACTGGAGTTTTACTGTAGGTCTCAAAACTACCAGCAAACCTGTTTCTCTGTGGTACAGCTTATTCTAATTGATCTGGGTATAATGTTTAAAACACTTGAAAATTGTTTTGTAGAAATGTTTTACTTCTTTTTGACTGGATTATAGAATGGGCTAAATTTTTCAAAGAAAAATGTTCAGGATTTTTTTTTTTTTTCAAAAACATGTCTGGATTTTCCCACCAGCAATAATACTGAAAAACACTGTGGCTATGTCTATACTGGTAGATTCTTGCACAAGAACATCAGAACTCTTGCACAAGAACACATCCACACTGCCATGTGCTTTTATGCAAGGGCATACATGGCAGTGTGGACGCTGTCTTGCGCAAGAAAGCTCTGATGCGCAAGAAAGCCCTATGGCTAAAATGGCTAAGAGACCCCTGCTGCACATCCACATTGCCCTCTTGTGCAAGAGCTCTTTCGAAAGAGAGCTTACACTTGTTAGAAAAGAGCATAGCTCTTGCGCAAGAAGCCCTCTCTTCCCACACTTTACTGTAAATATTCTTGCGCAAAGGTGGGCAGGCAGTGTGGATGCTCTACAGAAGAATGGCCATTCTTGCACAAGAACCCTCCAATGGAGACATAGCCTATGAAATAATTCACCCTTGAATATGTTTGTATGTATCATAGCAAGGTTTTCACTCAGGCCCCTTGCCCTGAAACCCCTTCTTCAGCCTCAAATCAATCAGAGACCATCTCTTGTGCAATCACCCATGTCTTTTATTGTCCATGCCAGTTGCCCACCACCTTCTATTTACAGAGCTTTGTTTCTACAGCAAACTTGACCAGCTTCTCCATCTGGGTGGGGAAGTACACTCAGCCACTCTTTGGCCCTTACACTTCCCCTCAACAGGCTCTCTGGAAGCCTTATCTAGCCCTCTGGCTAATGAGGTCCACAGCTGTTTCCCATTACCCTCTTGGGCATGGGCTTGCTCAGATGACTTCAGTTGCCCTTTTGAGCCAGGCTGTAGTGACAGAGCTCTGGCTTAGCCTGCAGCCTGTCCAAGTATGTATAGTTTGACTGTAAAACCATAGGACATCAAAGACCGGGAAAGTGACTGAAAATATTGTCAATATTCAAATCCTTTTAAATGTTTTCCTTATATCTCACTAGCAGTATCATAGATTCTTGCAAGAGAAAGAATTTAAAAACACAATTTTTCATTATTTATGCAGTTAATTTAAATTTAGCATGTCACTCTAGTTCGACAGTGAGAAAACAGTCATTTTCACTTCTTGATTCCAGTGGTGTAGTGTAGAGCTTTGTGCGGGACTACTTTTTAAATCTTATTCCCATCCCGCCCTGCAATACCAACTCCAAACAGGTCCCTCATTGTTTCTTACATTTTTAACCTACTCCCACCTGCAAAACCTTAGATTCCTACAAATTCTGTAAGAAAGACAGATTATTTCCATGCTTCTAAAAAAACAAACAAAAATGTTGGGTGTGTAAGTATGTGGATATAATAAAAAAAATCCAGACACATTTTTACCATTAAAAGAATAGAATACATCTTTCTTAAATCATGTAAGATACTTTAACTTCTATTATAATGTATATGAATTCTCTTTCTATCACTCGTTTAAATTTAAGTATTAAAACTTTTATTAAAAAAAGAAAAATTGCTTTATATTGTTGAAATTCTAGTTATCTCTGCAAAGAAATGCTTAAATACAAATACATTCTTCTTTTTTATTTGAATAAAACAATGGAATTGCCTTTTTAAAACAAACCTCAAAGCTAGACTCTGAAAGGAAAGATTCCTTCCTGCTAAAAGGAAGAGATTAGTATATTTTCATTCATTTTGTTGGTGCTGTTTACAGAGCCCAGGACAGCAGGAACAGGTGATGATGGAGCAGATGGAGCAGCTGCAAAGGCTGGTAACTGAACAACAGAAAATCATCACATACTATAACCCAGGTACTATGTGGATTTCCTCCTAAGAACTCAGTACTGTGCATGGCAGCTGTTCACATTCCAACAATGAAATGCTGTCGTTCCCAGAATAAAATCAAGCTACTATGTGAGGTTGATTGGAGGAAGTAGAAAGATCTTCATCAGAGAGTTGTACTAAAATATTTTATTCACACCACAAAATGGTAACTTACCAAAAATGATAAAGTTTCTTTGACTCTAAATATTTCTTACAGACATTTCATGTGTAAAAGTACATTTCTGGTCAATACTAACAGACATCCACATACATGTGTCTACTAAAGTCTAGATTAAAAATCATTAGTGTTGTAATAAATTTCAGTGTAGTTGCAGGCACTGCTAAACTCTGCAATATTTTCTTTCTTTCTTTCTTTCTTTCTTTCTTTCTTTCTTTCTTTCTTTCTTTCTTTCTTTCTTTCTTTCTTTCTTTCTTTCTTTCTTTCTTTCTTTCTTTCTTTCTTTCTTTCTTTCTTTCTTTCTTTCTTTCTTTCTTTCTTTCTTTCTTTCTTTCTTTCTTTCTTTCTTTCTTTCTTTCTTTCTTTCTTTCTTTCTTTCTTTCTTTCTTTCTTTCTTTCTTTCTTTCTTTCTTTCTTTCTTTCTTTCTTTCTTTCTTTCTTTCTTTCTTTCTTTCTTTCTTTCTTTCTTTCTTTCTTTCTTTCTTTCTTTCTTTCTTTCTTTCTTTCTTTCTTTCTTTCTTTCTTTCTTTCTTTCTTTCTTTCTTTCTTTCTTTCTTTCTTTCTTTCTTTCTTTCTTTCTTTCTTTCTTTCTTTCTTTCTTTCTTTCTTTCTTTCTTTCTTTCTTTCTTTCTTTCTTTCTTTCTTTCTTTCTTTCTTTCTTTCTTTCTTTCTTTCTTTCTTTCTTTCTTTCTTTCTTTCTTTCTTTCTTTCTTTCTTTCTTTCTTAGGAAGGAATTCAGCAGACAGGCTTCTAGAAAGAACTTTCAATGCTGGTAATTCAGTCTCTTTCCCACAGTGCAATATAAACAACTAGAACAACTGCATTCTTTAATGGTACCACTGCCAGAAAATACCATCAGCATAGTAAGAAAAGAAGTATCCATCCTCTGCAGGGATTCTTTTCCCAACTTTGGAATGGGGGTGATTCCACAACCTAATTGGGACTGACTATATGAGGGATCAGCAGGTATCTTCACCCACTGCACAGAATCTGGTTTTGCCAGGCCTCTCTGCATGACTGTGAGCAAGGGGGAATAGAGAACAAAGCATGGAAAAGCCAAAGGATCTTGGCTGCCCTCCTGGAGGTATTCCTCCAAGGGGAAACAGTTTTCCTTTTGGACAGAGCTCTATAGTGCCCTTCTTCCTTCAATATTGCAATCATGGATCACCTGCATCCCTGAGAAAAGGTCTTCTGTCACAATTCTCTACAATTTCAGTTTAGCATCCACCGTGCCTGACAGGCTCAAGGATAATAGGAAGTCCTTGGAAGCAGTAGAGTTACTCCGTTGCAAATGAGATTGAAATTTGGTCCAGTGCTTTTCCATGAACAAAATATGACTAATTTTGGCAAAATGCTTAGGATGGCAGAGCTCACGTGTAGTTTTAAATAGTTCAACTAGCCCTGGCAATTAAAATTTCACTGATTTTGGTAGTAGGACAGGATCATATTTTATGTGGTTAAACCATTATTCAATGATTTATCCAAGGCATTTTCCAATATAAGCCCACCAAGAATGCATTTCCTTCCATCTTCCTTCACCTCCTTCCCTTCATAAAATGTATAAGCAGTGCAGTCATTGTAATGAAAATCATGGTCCAGTCATGTCCCTCTTACACAGCATAGTATGAAGCAGTACAGAATTCTTTGTGTGCCTTTGGGTTAATACGGTGTGTTTTTGAATAGGGGTACCCGTTTGTTAAATTATGGGACTACTTTCAAATTGAAGTATGGTACGGGAGAGTAGTTTTGGCAGTGGGGAAGTGCTGGAACAAACAGGTTTTGACTCTTTAAATTCTGAACTCTGGTTTTCTGTCCAGGGCAATGTTATAGATATACTAGTCCATACTTGTGCTAGAGTTTGATTGTAAAATGATTTTGTAAAACTCTTTGTGCATGGAGAGGAAAATATTAGTCAACATTTGATACTTTTTAAAATTCTTGTATAGATCAGAACTATTTTTTCACACTACTGAAGGTGCAGAGGGGGAGAGAGAGCAATGGAAGGGGAACCTGGATTCCAAACCAAAGTGTGCATGCCCTGACTCAGACTGGCAGGTCTTGGCTAGAATGGGTTAATAATCTTTCATTGGATCAATTTCTGTTGGTGATAGACAAGCTTTTGAGCTCCTTTTCAATTCTAGGAAAGATATTGCAAGTGTTACAGCCTAATGCAAGGTGGAATAGATTGGTTGGCATAAATAGATAGCTCCTATTTTAAGGGACCATTCAAGGTAGAGCAACCTTTTGACACCTCTCGTCATAGGACAAAAAGAAGGGGTTAATGGATCATAGATTGTTGTAATAAGCCATAAGTCCAGGGTCATAACTCTGTAAGGGTATGTCTACACTACAGAGTTAGTTTGAACTAACGGACGTTAGTTCGAACTAACTTTCATAGGCGCTACACTAGCGCTCCGCTAGTTCGAACTTAATTCGAACTAGCGGAGCGCTTAGTTCGAACTAGGAAAACCTCATTTTACGAGGATTAAGCCTAGTTCGAACTAGCTAGTTCAAATTAAGGGTTGTGTAGCCCCTTAATTCAAACTAGTGGGAGACTAGCCCTCCCCAGGTTTCCCTGCTGGCCACTCTGGCCAACACCAGGGAAACTCTATTGCCCCCCTCCCGGCCCCGGACCCCTTAAAGGGGCACGGGCTGGCTACAGTGCCCGTGCCAGGTGCAAGC